AAAAAAAGATTAATTGATTTAGCCGACAAAGAATTAGAAACCCAACAAAATCAACAAAAAATCACAAACTTAACCAAAAAAAAGGATAAATTACAAACCCAATTAGACTTAGCCACAAAAACTAAGGAACAATTGGCTGAGGAATTACAAAAAGAAAAAGGATGGTTAGACAAAATTATTGGTAGTAGTAGTAGTGATTTTTCTTCTTCTTCTTTAAAAAAAACGGTTAGCGAGGTAAAAGCAGAGAGAGAGAGAGAGAGAGCAGGAGATTACGCGAAAAAGAAAATAGACGACAAAAAAAACCCACTGAATAGAAACTGACAAAGTTTTTATAACTGATTAGAAAAAAATATTGTGGACCGAGAAGCAGGTGGCCCAGGTAAAGGAAATATCAAGGAGGAGAAGAGGGGTGAGTATCCAGAAATAGTTTCTCAATATCATTCTTTCGTTGTTTTAATGATTTCATTGGAGAAAACCATTGGTATTCCTATAAAAACACACAATAATCTTAATCAAAGTAAAATAGTAAAAATGGAAGAATACCGGGAAGGCAAAAGCTTTGCTGAATTGAGAAAAAATTGGGAAAAAGGTTATTTTAAACCTGGATTATATCCAGAGTTAGACGCTGAATTTGAAAAATTATTTAGTGCGTGGAAAAAAGATATGGATAATTTGCCGTAGGCTAAAAATAATTGTTAAAAACAATAATATAGACAAAAAGTTTTGTTAGTTGGTTGTATACATACCCAACTCATCCTAACCCAATCAGGGTTTTAGAAGAGATTTCTGTAATTGTGGTTGGGCTCTGGGTTGGGTATGTATCATTACAGAAATCTCTTCATTTCCTTTCACAACCAAAGACAAAATTTAACAGCACCTTTTCCTTATCAAGTTGCCTTTTAATAAAAAGCAACAAAGGAAATGACGAGGTCGTGTTAAAATATCAAAGCACAAAGAAAAAAGAGGATTTTATCGCTTAAAAAATAAAAAGAAGAAGTGTTTTTATCTTAAAAATCGAAAATCTAACCTTAAAATTCATCGAGTAGGTCGATGAAAAAAATCGAGAGGGAACCGTTTGAATTATCAACATCAAATAAAAAAAGACAATAATATACGAAATTACACTAAATAGGAGGTGGACCACTTTTT